AACTTCTGTTTTTTAAAAAGAGCAAAAATGTGCCTGGGTGGTTTTTGCTCTTCTCAGCAGGACAGAGAAAAGTTAGCCATTGTATGGCTGTGAACCAATGCACTTGGGGCCTGGTCCAGAACCCACTGGGGTCAGTCTGGGGCTGCCTATTGACCTCAGTGTGCATTGGCTCGAGCCCTTCAGGGTTTAGCAGTTTTCCTGAATTGCTGGAGTGTGAACTTGGAATCTTCTATAGTGAAGACAAATCATTGCTCAGAATCTAAATGTTTAAAATGTGCGGCTCCAGTTAAAAATAAAATTTGATTCTTCTTGACACTCACTATTTAGTTCTCATTTTCCATCTAGTATTTAATGGTCTTTGGAGAGAAATAATAATAAAACAGAGTGTTATATATATATATATATATATAAATATATATATTTTTGGTGCAAGATGAGACCTTCTGTTTTTTGAAACAAGTCTGTAGCATAAAGGTTAAACTATTTTAAGACAAAATAAAATAGAGTGTATTATTTAAACAATATCAATTTGTTGGGTTTTTTTTTCCACTTTCATCAAATATGCTGCTGTTTGTCACATCTACAAATTAAATCCATAAATTCTGGATTACAGTTGCTGAAATTCGGCACTGTTTCTTGCTGTAACACATTTAATTTTGTACATATGGAATGTTGAAGTGATTACTGACTGCAAAATCTTCCTTTTATCTTGGACCAGTGCAGGACCAACACTTCTGTACCCTTGGTGCAAGGGGATGTGCAGGTACCAGTGACAAGGGGCTGCTGCCCATCACAGAATCCCAGGACAGTTTGGTTGGGGTTTGGAAGGGACCTTAAAGATGGTCTCATTCCACCCCCCTGCCACAGGCAGGACACCTTCCACTGTCCCAGATTGCTCCAAGCCCTGTCCTACCTGGCCTTGGACACTTCCAGGGATCCAGGGGCAGCCACAGCTGCTCTGGGCACCCTGTGCCAGGGCCTGCCCACCCTCCCAGCCAGCAATTCCTTCCCAATATCCCATCTGTCCCTGCCCTCTGGCAGTGGAAGCCATTCCCTGTGTCCTGTCCCTCCCTGCCTTGTCCCCAGTCCCTCTGCAGCTCTCCTGGAGCCCCTTGAGGCCCTGGCAGGGGCTCTGAGCTCTCCCTGGAGCCTTCTCTTGTGCAGGTGAACAGCTCCAGCTCTGCCAGGCTGGCTCCAGAGCAGAGGGGCTCCAGCCCTGGCAGCTGCTCCGTGGCCTCCTCTGGTCTGGCTCCAGCAGCTCCCTGCCCTCCCTGTTTTGGGGCTCATTGTGCCCTGAAGAATCCCCTTCAGGGATGCAATTTCTGCACAGCCTCCACCTTCCCACACACCCGAGTCCTTCAGGTGTCTGAGCAACCTTCCCACCATTATTTTTCTGACTGCATCCCCTTGTCCCATCCTCCCAGACATCTTCTGCTGGTCAGTGAGACTGCCTGACTCAACGGCTGATGCGACAGGGCAAGTCCTCTCTGGCCAGGGGGGTGGTGCCAGGGTGAGCTGTGTTCAGAGAACCACTAAGTTGGTTTGGGGGAATTTGGAGACACAAGTAAAGAAGAGAATGGTAAAGTACAACTGCACTGTGCTGAATGTGGGGTCCTGCTGCCTGCCAGCCCCCCTCACAGGCAAAATGGAAATGGAAATGGAAATGGAAATGGAAATGGAAATGGAAATGGAAATAATAATAATAATAATAATAATAATAATAATAATAATAATAATAATAATAATAATAATTATTATTATTATTATTATTATTATTATTATTATTATTCAGTACCTCTAATGTGTTTTATTTGTATTTATCATTTGAGAAAGCCCCCAGTGGAAATCAGGAAGGCCACTTATACAAGTATTTTAAGTACCAATATGGATAATGAAGGTAAAGTGAGTTTGTTTGCAGCCTTACCGAGTCCTTGGCACTTCTGGAGCCTGAAGATAAAAATTCTGGGCCTAGTGGTCATTGGAGTGTCCTAGGTTGACTGTATGATGTCTTTATCTCCAATCACCTGCCCTGTTTATGTTGAATAATAAGTTTTGCACCTTTTAGATCTGTTCCAGGAGTGAAGGGGGAGGAAGAAGCGTGGAGTTTGTTTTCAAGAACTGCACTCCCTCCTCCACATTCCTGCTGCTGGACTGTGTTGTCTGCTGATGGACAGACAGCGAGACAGAGCTCTCCTTTGCTCTTTAGTTAGTTTTAGCTAGCTGAGGCAAAGAAGTTCCCTGGACTGTGGTTTTTTCCCTCTCTCTGGACCTGCTCTGGATGAACACCAGGAGAGCAGCAGCAGCAGCGCCGGTGGCCCAGCGGGCCGGGCCTGGGCCGTGGCATTTCCAGCGCCGGAGGGACGGATCAGAGACTGAGTGAGCCCAGCTGCAGCCCGGGGGGTTTCTGAGTTTGTCTCTCTCTTGGAGTGGCAAGAAGTTTTATTGTTTAATATTGTCTAAGTTTGCTTGTTTAATAAACAGGTTTTTCCACTATTCTTCAAGGAGGTATCTTTCCTGAACCGGTTAGGGGGAGAGGCCTTCTAGAGGAACCCTTCTGGAGGTTCTATCCCAAATTTGAACCAGGACAACCAGTCTCAGATTTTATTTTGTGTCTATCAGCAGCTGAGGGAGAACAGAGCCGTGGAGTTTGGTGCAGATGTGGGAAGAGGACAGATAAAATATCTGCTGAATCTTTTCTTCTCTATCACCAAGAGATACCCAGAATCTGTAGGCTTCAGGGTACATTGGATGGAAAGCTTAAAATACCTCCTGTGGCCCTTGGCACTTCCTTATGTAGGAGCCACTTGACTTTGTGGGAATTGTTATTTCCAGGGCAACACAAAGACTGATGAAAACTACCCAAAACCAGGTTAGATTTTGTACTGTTTTTCCCAGTGAATTAGTTGCAATGCAGGTTAGTTTTGTGGCTGAAAGTTTGCCTGCCTTGAAATGAGGACTGAAAGGGTGCTAAGTGGATTAGTTCCCCAGTTCCCTGGAGAATCTGTAAATGGTGCACTTTGTTGAAGGTATTGCCTCCCTTGGCTGAAATACTACCAGTTCTGCCTCTCCTTTTTGGGGCTGCCATCTCCGAATGTCAGCTGTTGTAGCTTTCTCTCCAGAGCACCCCAGGGGTGCAGTTTCCCTTCTGTCTGCAAAGGGAAGTAGCAGAATGACTGCAAAATGCAAACTTGGGATGGACAAACCCTGCATTTACTGACATCTTTGGTGCAAATAAGGTGAAATTCTCTTGTTACTGATAAGGCCTAAAGAGTGGACAAGGATCCAACCCATGCTTTTTGAAAAGCAAATTCAATCCTGAGAGTCCTGATGACTGCTGATTCACAAATGCCCCTTGGAAGTTTTCTCATGGATCTCGTTAGTCATCTGGATTTGCAATTTAGTTTAAAATTATAATTGAGTGCCAGCCACTGGGAAGGAAACATCTTTCAGACAGTCTCAGGGCAAAGTTGGAGTGGACAGGGGGAAAGCTGTCTGGAAGTTTAATTTCAGATAATTTTTTACACTTAACTCTCTGCATCGGCAGCTTCGGGTGAATCCAGGGTAACCACATCAGAGCTGGGAAAACAAAACAAGAGTCCTCTGTCAAATTAATTTTCCATTACTGTAGGTGCCGTGAATTGAACACAGCTCCTGGAGCCTGGCTGGTGCCTCTGATGAAATGCCATCTGCAGCTGAGTAGTGCATTTGCTTTGTCCCCAGCTGGCTTGTGATCAGTGACACCCAAACCTTTCCCATTTTGTTTCTTCCAGATCCTTGTGTGTCTGCTTCAAACTTGGAATTGCTCAACGCCAGTGAACCCCAATGTCAGGCCAGTCCCAGAATCACAGAATTATTTGGGTTAGAAGGGAACTTAAAGACCAACTAATTCCAACACCCTGCCACAGGAAGGGACTCCTTCCACTGTCCCAAATTGTTTCAAGTCCCATCCAGTCTGGCCTTGGACACTTCCAGGGATCCAGGGGCAGCCACAGCTGCTCTGGGCACCCTGTGCCAGGGCCTCAGCACCCTCAGAGAGAATAATTCCTTCCCAGTATCTTATCCAACTCTGCCTTCTGTCCATTTAAAGTAATTCCCTGTGTCCTGTCCCTCCCTGCCTTGTCCCCAGTCCCTCTGCAGCTCTCCTGGAGCCCCTTGAGGCCCTGGCAGGGGCTCTGAGCTCTCCCTGGAGCCTTCTCTTCTCTAGGTAACACACCAAGACTAGAGTACAAAACCACAGTGAGCAA